CAAACCAGGGTCCAGACGAATACCCTCGACCCGATCGTACTCCTCTATATATAACTTCTTGGCCTCGTCGTCGTCGCCACACTCGCGCGGCCAGCCGCTAGCTTCCTGCTTAATCTTTAGGAACGTGTTTATGTAATCGGCAAAGTGACCGCCCGTCCGTGTCGCCGGATCGTACTGGGTAATCTCATACTGCCTTATTTCGTGTATCAACGTTATTTCATACCCCTTACGTACGGCGCGCTTGACCTCGTCCACGATCCACGTCCCTTCGAATACCCTGTCCGCGGGATTCTCGTGAGGACACGACCCCTGTAGCGTGGCCTCTGCACAGGAACGACACAATGCAAAGAGCAGTTTACCGTGCATACGCACCGGTAACACGGGATGATACAGATCTCGCGGTGGTAACACCACACACTTAATCAAGCCCTCCACGTTATCGATGTTGTGGCGATCACCCGTTAATTCGCGACAGTCATCGCCCACGTACACCGTAGGGTGCCCTACAGGGAATTTCCCCGTTTTCGAAATGAAGGGGTACAGCGAACACACATCTACGTAGTGTATCCTCTCAGACCCCTCGACTTCATAAAAACTGACAGTATTACCTGTACGGCCACCGAAGAAAGCATCGCGGGGTTCGAGCGGTGCCTGCGATACCAGCGGGTTCTCATTCAGCGATCTGTATAAAGCTGTCTGTTCAGGATCGCTTATCCAGCGGTCGAATTCACACTCCCAGATTTCCGTCAGCTCGTAACCTAAATACCGAATCTTATCGTTCGTAGCTTGCGTTCTCTCGTAGCGCGCGTCACGGGTTCTCATTCAGCCATCTGTATAAAGCTGTCTGTTCAGGATCGTTTATCCAGCGGTCGAATTCACACTCCCAAATTTCCGTTAGCTCTTACCTAAATACCGAATCTTATCGTTCGTAGCCTGCGTTCTCTCGTAGCGCGCGTCCATGGATCCACCCGTTTGTAGACGACTATCTCTGTTTATACGATAGCATTTCGGGCACCCGTGCCAGAAACAACCCTGAAACTGGAATACGTGTCGCAAACCGGAGTCGGTGTCCAGGTAGTAACCATCGACGGGTGTACCCTCCGGCAGACGATACTCCCGAGTGCGCCCCGCGTGAACTATGGCGCAACCCAAACGATGCTCTAGCGAGAGAAGCCATAAGATGGCCTTACGCGATTGCTTGTCACCGTATCGATACCCACCAGGCGGTAAAATAGCTATCTGTTCGTCCCGCAAAAAGTTTTTCCGAAAAACTTTCGAACACGCCGAGGCTATAGTGGTACTCTCCGAGAAAGGGCAAACGCTGCCATGCTGAAGAAACATTTCGCGGAAAGAAACGCACGCCTGCCTGAGAATGGTAACGTCCGATCTACAGTAATCTATAAACGCGGTTCGAAAGTTAAATACGTATCCGGTAGAACGCTGCTCGTTATACCATGCCAAAAACTGATTACGCTGAGCCGTCGACATCGTATCGGGCGAATAAAACTCGAGCGCTGGCAACGGGCCGATATAATGCTGATTCTCAGGTGTATTGAACAGATGCGGAAAGACCCCCTTTTGTTTCAACCCAGCCGCATCC